GCTAAGTAGAAAAAAAAATACGTAAGACTGTCGAAATGAAAACAGAGACACTTTTGCAGATAAATCTAGATAAGCAGGACAAATACTGTCACAGAGTGACAGAGGAAAGCACTCAAAGTGAAGAAATAAAAAAAGTGAAGAATGCTAGTTTTCACTACCTTGCTTTTCAGTAAGCAGCTAAGTATCACATGTCAAACAGATAAGTTACTATTGGCTTGGCCAGATACAAACTGTTAACTGAGGTGATTCTGTCTCTGCTAGTGACGTTATCCTAAACAAAGCATAGCAGGAGAGAGACAAAAGCCCCCCAAAAATTCTGTGTTCCCCTTCTCCCATTTGTTTCCAGGCAGCATAAAGTTTAACTTACTTTGTCTCTTAAAATTACACAAAAAGATAAAATAGTCCAGGCAACAAACAGTTTGGGCTTTATTTTTGTTCCCCCTTCTGCACATTAGTGTCACTACAGTACTCTCACCCTGAACAAACTTCATGTGTAGCTATATTCAGGAACTACCTGTACACAGGACTAGCTTTTTTCCCCCCTCGATTTTTACTGTATTTGTCGATCGTTATTTTAATAAAGCTTCAATAAAGCCAGAGCTCATGCATAGGATTTAACCACTTCTGTCAACAAGAAGCACGAAAGTGATCATATTCATATAGGTCATTTGCTCAACTTTCACAGTTTCTAGATCAGCCAGCTTCTTACAGGCTCTGTCAGGCAGGTAGTTATGTTTGGCAGTGGACTGGTTAGATTTTTTAATAGTTCCCTTCACCACGGAGATGATAACCATGTTAGACTCAGCAGCACTATTATTTACAGGGCTTTTTTCAGGAGTGGCAGTCTCAGTGTTGCAGTTCAAGCTGCCTACCAGTGTAGGTACTTCTCATAGTTTATCTATTGGACCTGTTTAACGCTGTGCCTATTCAGCACACCCAAACATGCCGTCTCTACAGAGTGAAATTACAGGTGATTGTTTGGATAAACATAACAGCCAAAGAACAGTGGGCCAAAAGTAACCTGTTTTTTATGATTATATAGTCAAGTTCCTCATGAAATGCTATCAGGGTCCCTTTTTGCCATATAAGTAGGAGTTTCAGGAAGATGACTGTCCTCACCTTTCACCTGTGTCCTAATTTCTCCACAGATTATAAAAATATGTCTGCAGAATTTAATTTTATAGATGGACAGGGGTTGCATACACATGGAAGCTGAGGGATAATAAAGTCTGAATTTCAATGTTGAGTATCCTCTATAAGCATTAGCACCAAGGAACATCAGATTGTAGAAAAGGGATAAAAAGAGATCATAGGAGATTAGCCCTCCAGGCTGTTAAATCACTGTGTAAAAGTGGGCTTCAATGTCACTCTGAAATAACCCATACACTTATTTCATTTGATTCTAGATACTGGAATCAAAAATCCACATCCATAAGGATTTTTTCAGACTATATTGATTTTTCCCATTGGGCTAATTCTTTTTGATTTTTAAATTTGAAGAGCGAGGCAGAAAAGGCCTATAGAATTGCAAGAAACTAACTCACTCCTAGTCAGGGACTACATATAAATAAAACATGCTTTTCCCAAGGTCTTTGAAAATTAACGAAGAGAAAGAATTAGGGACCATGCTTCTCTCATGCCAAGATGAGGTTACTAAACAAAAATCAGATATAGAAATCTGTTACAATAGGAAGGCACTAATCCCAAGACAAGATAATGAAGCATAAGTCCACGTGTAGGACAATAAATGGTGAATCACTTAGTGTAGTACAGAGAAGAAAATGGAAGTGCAGTGAATAAGCTGTAAAAATTACTACAGAAGATAGGAATAGATAAAGATTATATATGTCATAAGCTATACCAACAGAAAAGAGCCAATTCAAACCATGCCAACAAGGATTATTGGAAGTATCATATCTTTGCAAAAAACATTTAAGAGAGAATTCCATACCCATAGAATAGCCTCAGACACATGGAGACAGCGATAGAGGCACAGCAGAAAACTTGACAAACTTGAGAAAGCTATTGAAAATTAGGTAACTTTTTTTTCCATAAAATAGCTTTCCCTGGTCTGATATTTCTCATGACCTAGTATAATGGCTTCTCAAACTTGTCACTTAGCTGTCTTAATACAAAAAAAACTTTGGAAAAGATGTAGTGCTCATAATGCATGTTTCATTTGCAGTAAAAAGTTTCATTAAACTTCATTTGAGGTGAATGTTCTTGACCATAAGGTTTTTTTCCCCTTGAAGAATCATAGAAAGTGCACAGAAAAGTGATTCAACAGTGTAAGACAAGCTTATAAAACAAACAATATTTTCTGAAATTATTTTGTGTTCTTGGTTCAAACCTAAGTATAATTGCTTCTCAAGCTTATTACTTAGCTCCCTTCTAATAAGAAAAATCTTTATGAAGAAACTGGGTTAGCAACCAAAAATAATGACAAAGTAATTAAAAATAAAAATTAGTTGAAATAATTTCACATCACTGTACCAATTACAATTAGAGATTGTTTAAAGCGATGTGTAAAGAATCCCTTTCCTACATGCATGGGATGTGAAGGGAATAATTTCACTTGTTTTCTGTGATGATCGTCTAGTCTTGTGCTGGGTTGGAAGGAAGGAGTTAGTTGCAGAACCCAGAACTTTAACAGACAAGACTTTACTGAGAGGTATGGCAGTAAAAACAAACAAGCAAAAAAAAAAAAAAAAAGCCAAGGGTGATGTTTCTGGAAAGTACTGCTCTACAGATTTTGTCTGATATTCGTTTCTTTTTGGTTTGTGCATTTTTCATAGAGCTTGGAAGAGAATACAGGCATCTTCCTCTAACTCTGCCTTCATCACATCTCTCAACATCCAATATAAACCCCAGAGAATAGGTCAAAAGTTACACCTATGGAATTCCTTTCTTTAACCAGTTGTGTCTCCCCACCTTACTTGCTATAAATTCCTATCACCAGAACTGTGGAATTGCCTAGGTCACTTGACAATATTTTAGTCTATACTATGCTTTTGTGACACTGTACAAACAGCAAACTGGAGAGAAGGCACAGAAGTTGTTTCAGGTACTTATGTAGTTCACCTTGCCTCAGAGATCTGCTGAATGGCATGTGTTATATAAAATATGCATCATTTGGAGCAGGCTTTCACATTTAGCAATTAAAGCCATTGAAGTTATTCTAGTCATTATCAAAACCATGACCATGTATTTGACATCTTTAGAGAGCACAACTTCTCTTGATAAACAATTTTTAATTAAAAAATCATGTATGCAACTATGTTGACACTATACAAGTCGGGTACAAAATAAACAGTGAGGACAGTTACGGCTGACCCCCTTCTCCAGGACAAGAGAGTGGAGCTTTTCAGGGTAGAGAAAATTCACAACTGAGAAATCTGCATTATGACAGACATCTTACATCAATTTCAGTACTCCCTTCTACTGAGTTTGTGGAGGAAATTCCCCTTTCTCCTAGCCTGTTCCCCCAGCTTTATAGTTTAAGAGAAGTCTACATGAGTTAGTACACAGATGTGAGTTTTCAGGGTTCCTTGAAATCATTATTTTAGGGCAAAAAGGGAAAAGGAAATAGCCGCATACAAAGTGGCATCACACCCATAAAAGTGCTAGAGGATGTCATACAGATTCTACAGCTCTTACACATGCAGTATACTACATTGCACTTGGATACTCTGTAAAGACACTAATATAGATGTATGCTCTACATGTAAGTAGTGAGTAGCAGGTGGGAGGGTGTCTGATAAAGAACAACACTTCAAGCAGATTAGTAATTCTCTGCTACAGAGGACTGCCACAATCCCCTTCTGTAAACTTACTGAGGTCCAGTTAGATTTGAGACATCATATAAAGATTTCTTGGAAAAATTTCCTCCCTGACAACACTTACATAATGCACCTGCTGTAAAAAGACAAGGATTCTGGTGTTCTGGACTACTCCAGGAACTGGTATCAGTGAATGAACTTTCTAAGTCTAAAACAACTGAAGATGTGTAAAGGAGTACTAGAGACATAGAAATACTTGAAGGTTAACTTTCTGATTTTATAATATAGATTTTAATTCTTCCTGAAAGGCAGCTGTTTTCAAACAAACACAGCATGTTTAGGAACTGCTAGATGATAGAATCATTACATGTTCCTACCCACAAACTCCTATCTCTTCAGCAGTATGTTTGACAAGGCTGTCAAAAAATTAAGTTCGAGTGAAACCCTATAAAGGTTAACTCAGGCAACCTGAACGTGAGAGCAGACACATAGCTGCATATGCCTAAGTGTTCACGCGGTTTTCCACAGTTGCTGTGTTTGCATGCTGTGAATACCAGAAGCTAACAGCATTAAAGACAATTGAACAGGAATAGTTGTTCACTGGACAAGGCAAAGCAGCCATATAAACAAAAACAGTCAAAGAAAATGTTAAATTGAAAAGTTCCATATTCATCAAAAAAACATATTTGTGTTTTGAAAAAAAATAATTTCATCCCAAATACCAATTGAAAATCCTGGAAAAAGTAGGAATGAAACTGTTACTTATTACTATTTTGCCTTCAAAATTCCCCAGGAACTGCACAACATGGTGTCCAAATTAACCATCCCTACACAGCAGGATGTCTCTACTGTCTACCTTTCTAAGTGACATTTGGAGTAACACTTAACCAGGTAAACATTTAACAAAAAGACACCAAAAACAACCCTAACAAACAAAAAACAACCTGCTGTCATGTGAAGAGCACCTCCGTCTCCCAAAAGTAAACATTAAATAAATAAATGATCTGTCCAGTGGGAAAAACTCTCCAAATCAAGGAATCCTAGCTTCTGAGCTTTTTACTACAAATGAGGGATGAGTGGAAGGAAACCCCATGTGAGGCTGGGAACTCAGCGATTACTGCCTTGGGAGGGCAGGGAGGTGCAGGAGATAAAAAAGGCCCAACACTGGGGACAGGGAAAGGAAGAGAAGGAAAGAGAGTAAGAAGTAGAAGGTGCACTTACTGTTTGGTTATCTTCATACAGCTTCAAGTCATATCCACTCAGCTCCACACAGAAAATTATTGCTGTAACCCCCTCGAAACAGTGGATCCATTTTTTGCGTTCAGATCTCTGTCCACCCACATCCACCATTTTGAAAGTCAGCTCTTTAAAGGTGAACTTATTTTCTACAATCCCTGTGGTCATGTCCCGAGAACGCAGAATATCTTCCACGGTAGGGATGTAGTCCAGTGCTGCAATCCTTTCTAGGTCATTTAAGTAGTATGCAGCATTATCCTCTAAGTGGTACTCATTGGAGCGGCAAAAGCACTCCTGCACACCAGGGTCTGCCCAGAGCCGCTTCATCACTCCCAGGAGCTCAGGGGTGATCTCACCTTTGCTCTCAGCTGGGCCCGTCAGGGCAAAAAGCTGCACAGCATCGTACGCTCTGTCGGGATTGTGGAATTCTATCTTAAGGGTGGCTAGAGCCCGAATGATACGTGTGAGAGAGTCAATTGCATTGTAGATAATCAGAGGTTTGTATTCCTTACAGGCCTCCAAGTTAAAGCCACCACTATGGATGATTTTCATCTGCTTTACAATAGTACTCTTCCCCGAATTGCTGGTACCCAGGAGAAGGAGCTTGATCTCTCTTCGTTGTCGCTGGCTTTCAGAGCGCAGGTGGCGGTCAATCCTGCGGGACCGCCGCGCTGCCTCTTTCTCCTCAGAGCTTTGCCGACATCCCATGGTATAGCAGGCAGTTACAGAAGGGGAAGGCTGGAGGTTGTCTCACTCTGAGTCTCTGAAAAAGATCTCTGGTGTCTTTCAGTTCTCGTGCTAGGTACACCTTGAATGGAAAAAAGTCACTATCCAATACCTGATGGTCCAAGATGCCTGTAACACCTAATTCAGTCCCAGCAGGGGTGCAAACACATGTAGATATGCAACAACAGCAATAGTCCCTTCAGTAGATCTCATGGCACTCCCCTTTCCAGTGCATAAACAGCAACACATTCCTGTTAATGAAGGGATGCTTCCCTTTGCCACAGTTTGCCTAGATCCATCAAATACTCTTTTCTGCTCTGCATAATTATTTTGCGGCTTTCTGTCCCAAGGTAAAGAGCTGCACTTCCACCTTCTCTGCTCTAGCCCTCGTCTTTTAATTGTATTTTCTGGTTGCTGTGGTGATGCTGATAGATAAAGCTGAAGCTCTTTTCAGTGGTGCTGTACTTGTTTCGTTGCTCTTCCCCCACTTCTTCAGCTGATCCAGTTCAGCTCTGTAAATCTGTGCTTTCCACCTGCCAAACAATGAGAACAGAAATGAATGAAATGAGAGACTCCACTTCTTTGCTGCAAACCACTCACTTTCTCCTCTTCAAGGCTTCTAAACCTTTTATTATCCCCAAACAGAAAATGCAGATGGAAAAATATGTAAAGAAAAGCAAAAATCGAAAACCCTAGCAAAAATGTAGGAACAGCTGAAGCTCGCTGACCTAAGAGAATGTGATTTCTGAACAATAGTAAATCAAATCTCCCTTTCAGGCTTCAGTGTTTTGTTATCTAAACCTACATGAAAACAAACAGTGCTGAGCTGTGCCCCAATTTCTCCCTCAGCAAGAGCTTATGGCAGTGCTTTTCCTGCAGTCCTGTTCTGACTGGATTTCCTGAAGTAGAAAACAGAACAGACTCACAACTGCTTTTCCCAGTCTCTCTATTTATATCAGTATCTTCCACTCAGACAGATGTCCTCCAGAGCTTTCTTTCATCTTGTCTGTTTGCACTGAACATTTAAATAAGTAAATTAGGAAGCAAAAGGAGGTGATTAACTTTGCTTCATGATTTTGTAAAAGGGAAAGTTTCTGATCTTTGCAGAGCACAATGACAGATCTTCATTCTCCTTATAGAACAGAACTGTTAAATATACTACCTGCATCCTGCTTTATCAATACAGCAATGCACTACTACAACAAACTTTGTAAGATTCCTTCCATAGCCAAGCTAAGTGTTATTAAGCCTCCTCTCTTCCATTTTTACTGCATCTCAGAATTTCCTGTATTAAAAGTGAACAGTGACTACAAGGCAAATGTTTCACACAAGAAGTGCAGGAAATACTGTCCCAAGCAAGGGCTGACAGCTCTTGAACAGCTACTGAACAGTGACTGTTAGAGCAATTATTTTTCCCAAATTAGGGGTTAAGCCTACCAGTTGAAACTCTGCAGAAGGCAACAGCAGGAAGCAGTTACCTCTCACAGAGGGAAAACACATTCCTAATAGCTGATTGGTGATCACTTGACTCTTTTCTAGGAAGGGCTTGCTGCTCCCACTAAGCTCTGAGCACAGTGGGCAGCAGAACCACAGATGTCATGGCTTTCTCACTGTATGCTGGCCCCAGCCTGCTTTGCCACCTATCTTCCTGTTTTACTTGTGTCTAGAGGGTCTTCAATGAGTATTTTTACAAACTAAACTACGTGCCACTGAGACACCTTCAGAGGTAGGCTTAAGAAAAATTTCAGAGCCTACCAAAGAAATGTTAATACTTTCCTCAAATAACTGGCTTTTTCCAATAGTCATAGCAGATGAAAACTAAGAGTTGAGGAAGCTGTTTCTCAATAAGCAACTTTCCAGCCACAGAGAGAACAAAATTACTGGATCAGATAATCAGGCCGAATTCTTATTTTTATTATATAAAAATCAGAGTTGGCACCATTAATCAGGTTTATTCCAATATGTTCAGAAGAATTAAAATTGGTTTTTCTTTAAGTCCTCATCACCATTTTCATGTTACTGGTAAGACCACTGGTTGAATTCTTTGTGACATTTTCTATGCATCTCTATGACTAAAGATGAAAAAATTCGCAAGCAGCGCATATGGGACTCTCCTCTCTATTAAAGTTCCATCCTGAAAAAGGGACTTTCTAGAGACAAGAAGCAAGGGGTTACATATTCCTTCCAACATGCATCAGTACTTATGATAAATCCAGAGATTTTATGCCCATATAAGAAAAGCAGATCTTTTTTAGACTTTGCTAGTGACTTCAACAATCACTTATGACAAACAGCTTGGAAGAAAGATACATCCAAGTAAAAATTACTCTTTTCAGACAGCTTGTACATTCTGTAGAGTATTTCCTATTGCATATTTCCACAACACATTCAGATGCATCGTCCACATCCCAGAGTGTTTTACATATCAACTATTCAGCTTGCCATTTATTAATATGGCTAATGTAGAAAAGGATAGAGTAGCACCTCCTTTTTGCATGGAAGACCTGGAGTATGCAAACACTGTGTAAATGGTTTTTTACACTATTGAATTCCAGTTTTTTTTGGCATCTAGTCATTCCTATTGCATGTATTGCAGTGATGTTTGGATATTGCTATTTCAGGTAGGAATATAAAGAGGCGGTTATAGTATCTACTATTCTCCTTTACAATGGAATATCTCCAAATAGTTAACTACAGTAAGAAAGTTTGATTTATTTAAATAAGTTTTCCCACTGTCACCACACCCACATACACTGAAAAGCATCTTCCACGTTCACAGTCACTATTTTTTAAAGTTCAGAAAAAGAGTGACTTTACAGATTATTATGTTACTAGTTTTACTCTCCTGGCTACATAAATATGAGCTCCTTCTCACTGCTTTTACTTTTTCTTGGAACACACTCAGAAAATAAGGCAGTCTAGCAATTGCTCTGATCTCTTAGATCAGATTTCATATTAAAATGCAAGTGTGTCTTGGCTGTAAGATTCTAATCTGATAAAAGTCTCTTCGGTTACTCTAATGGAAAGCCCTATTGCTTCCTTTTACTGTGCACTTTTCCCTCTAAACTTTGATTTTAAAAACAAATTATTTGAATGAACAGATTACACTGCATATACGCATCTAAGCTAATGCATCTGCTTTCTCCTGACAATTTGAATCTACCAAAATTGTTAAGAAACTATATTTATTAAATGCGATGATTTATACAGGCTATCATGACTAAAATGGGTAGTTCTTTCCACAAGGTGAAATTACCATACCCCAAATCCTGATCTAACAGTCATCTACTTCAATTATCAAACAAATAATGTTCATTTTTGGAGTGGGGAGAATACTCGAGTAAAACTCTGCACTGGTTTATTATACAGATCTGTTGAAGCTCATTTAACTGAGCAGACTGTTTAGTATTAGCACATTCTTCTGTCCACACTTCTATAGTAAATAAAACCAGTCACTGTTGGTCACATATCTAAGGCTTGCTCTTCTGTCCCTACTCTTCACTTCTGGCTTGCTCAAACTGACCCGTGTGTTTGTAATCACAAACAGTTATCCCTTTTCTTAGCAGGTTCCCAAGTAGACAGGGGTTGAGGAGGGAAAGGAAGGAAGGAGAATGACACTACAACAACTCCATTCAATTGTAAAAACTTCCCTAATGAAAGATCTGAGTATTGTCTCATTGCATTAGCTACTAGCACGTTATCATGGAATGCAGAGTTACAGAATCAGCCATAAAAGATGCTCCCTCCCTCAAGATTTGATTGAAAGAGGATGGCTCCTAGGCTGTGAATAAAGCCACTGGCTGTTACTATCACAATCAATATAGAGACTGCACATAAAGTATGCTGCTAGCAGCAGAAATTTCAGCTGGTATTGTAGGCACAAAGCTATGTTCTCCCTCAAATGCAAGTGGTACCAGTAGTCTAATAATTTAGCTTCAACACCACCAGCCTGTCCACACAGAGCTTTAGGAGCCTAATCTTATTCAGTATTTCCATCCCAGTAGCCAGATGATACATATAATTTTTCCCCAGTAGTACCTAATTTAAGAAAGTAAAGTGGAGTTTAAAAGGTTGCAGCAAACTTTCCACAGCACTTCTACCTATAGTTGCCAGTGGTCTTGGTTAATTCAGGACTGATATTCTATTCAGTATTACAGAACATATACTATCAGAGGAAAACCAAACCTTACCCAAGCTATACTTTCCCAACCTATTGGTTCTGCAGGCCTGCCTGTCTGAACACTTACCCCTCTAAAGGGCAAATGCAAGCAAATCTAGCAAGTAGCAGCATCACACACATCCTAGACTTAAAAGTGTAAGCTAACCTAATGTAATCAGCTTCTAAAGATTATACACATCCACAGAGGATTCCAGTACTTTAACAAAACTTTTTTTTTTTTTAAGTTTTAACTTTCAATCACTTCTTACACTATTAATAAAAGTGATAAAGACATAAGGGAGTATCAGGAAATACCCAAGATAGTTTAATGAGGAAGAAGTCAAGTGCTCTACTAAGCAGGCATCACTTTTTTTTTCTTGAGAGGAACTGAGGCTAATAAGGAATGGGGAAATTGGTTCAGACTTTTGAATCTAGGAGAGCAGTGAGAAAGAGTCCCAGACATGCATGCAGTATAAATGGAAGGCTGACATAATTTTATAGAAGTTGGTTTACTGTGTAATGTGTTCCATTTCCAGAAAGCACTTGTTAGGCAATGGGAATTGGACTTGCTGGTCTAGAGGCTTAGAAGAAGAAAAGAGAACAGAAAAAATTTTATATTAAGGAAAACCAGAAATAATCTGTATCTAGAATGCAGATATCAAAATGATCTCTTGTGATAGAATTAAGATAGTCTTGGTTTAAAAAAAAATATTTGGGAAATTTTAAGATATTTTAGAAAGATATTAAGGATGAATATTCAAGTACTTAGGAGTTGTATGCACAAGTTATGGCAAAAATTTTAATAACATGTTAAGGCACTATAATCCCATCCAAAACAAAGGATAGGCCAGATCTAATTATCAAACAAGAAAACATAGCAGAGAAGGCTGTTGTCTTTTGTGGTTTATTTGTTACAGCAGTTAAAATGCATATTCTATTTGTCAGATAAGTGAAGAAAGACCTGTCATGATTTAATTAGCTGGATGTTTGGCTGGACACTGCTGAATTCCTCTGTCATGGTGGTTCTTTGTGATGTTAATTAACTCCCTTAAGCCCATCTTTTCAAAGATGATCTCTGTTTATGATTTTCATTTCTTAGGTGCTCAACTTGAGATACTGTTTGTGAACAAGAAATGCAATGCACAAAG